TAAACATCACAAAAAGACATTTGTAAAATATAGTATAATTGTATGGGTTAATCGATCAAAAACTCACTTTTGTCAATGTCTATTTGATCCAAAGTTGACCAGTTTTGTTTCATAAAAAAATGAAAAATCTCATGTGATTCTCCTCCACTCTTTACCTTTTTCCTTTTAATCTTCCTTTTTTTTTTACTTGACTTGAATAACACACCCTATGTAAAAAAAAAAAAAAAAATCCTCAACTTTGTGTGTGCAAGTGCAAATAATGGCAATCACCTAGGTCCACCATTGCACTGAACTAGCTTTACTACAACTAATCAATAATTTATGAATAAATAGTAATTAGTAAACATTCACCCGCCAATTAACCCTGAAGAGTAATTGAAAAGTTTTTTGCAAACCAAACACCATTGATACAAATGATAAGGAATTTGTGTCCTTTAACCAAAGATTTCATGTTCAAACCCTGGGAATAGAAAATATAGAACCCGACAATACTCGAACTAGACGAGAACATCTTTCATACAACTGTAGTAAGTAACTCTTCCATTAAACAACTGACATTTGGATAAAAAAATATTTCTCTCTTGACACGTGTATAAATATCACAGTCATTCATGAATTTCTATTGGCTGATAGTACCTAACAAATAGTGCTACAGGAGTATATTAGATATTTCCAAACTAGACTAATCTAAAAGATGAATCAGTTTAGGAGACTATCAACATATGGACCTCTCAATTCACACTCATGTTCCACCATTTAATCCTATGTTACACTTGCACACCCAAAATTTTGTTTGCCAACTTGTGGTGGTATAATTGTAAAAGGACGAGTAATTAATGTTCTACTCTTTCTGAAACTTTAATGTGTAGCACAAAATTGACAAACTCGCGTATGGAGCACGAAATTCCATATGCTTTGGTCACCTCACCGCCCTTCTATATTACAACAAATTAGAACTAATCTTGTCCGTCCATAGACTATAATATAAATCTTAGATTCTTAGGTCATTTTCATTTTTCCATTCCCACTTAAGGTTTACGCAGCAAATAGAGTATTTAAGATAGGGATGCTTAAGGCCCACATTTGTTCCTTTTTAGATTTTCTTCTGTCCACTTAAATCCGCGTAGATTGAAAGCAACTTCTACCTTACCTTTGGACACAGCTGCACCAAACAAAAATATTAATAATGAAACGCACATTAGCATATATTGGGTATCGGTACTGTAATTTTGCCTATTTTATATCTAATTTTCATATTATATGCCATAAATATCTTATATGTTTTTTTACCCATTGTATATACTATTTATTGTATATGTGACCTTGTATATTGCGTACTATTATTTTTAGCAATATAAAAAGGATATTTTCTTAAATATAATCATATTTTTAATATATTTTTTTATTTATTAAATTTAACCTATATATATATATATATATATATTGGGAAAAAAATATTTTTATTTTTGCATCAAAAAAAATTTGTTTTACTATGTTTACATAAAAGTGAGTGGATTTCATTATAAAAAAAGATAGAGAAAAAATTAGTGTGGTTCACTCACTCACTTTTACATGATTGTGGCATATAAATTTTTTTGCAATAAAAGTAAAAACATTAAAATCATATATATATATATATGAGACAGGATCCTTTGACACCGGTGTAAAAAAAAAAAGTTTGACACCTCATCTGAGAGCCGTTAGATTAAAAAAAATCAACGATTCTGATTTGTAAGCATGTGACACCATTGATTTTTTTTAATCTAACGACTCTCAGATGAGGTGTCAAACTTTTCCTTTGACACCGGTGTCAAAGGATCCTGCCTCTATATATATATATATATATATATATATATATATATATATATATATATGGGTTCCCAACTTTTGCTATCGCTGCACCACTTTTTCTGGTACAACACACACATAAAAAGCGGATCCCACCAAAAAAAAAAATTCTTTTGTAAAGATTGCAGAAGTATAAAAATTTATATATATATATATGTAAAATTATTTCTGCAGTCGCTTTACGTACAGCAACGACATGTGTATGGTTATGATTCCTTACATTTAATGCTTTCATCCTTTATATGGTTATGATTCTCCCAATTTAATGCTTTCAAGTATATATATGGCAAGTATTTGATTGCTACACATACAATAGCTGCAGAAATATAAATCATATATATATATGGGGAAATGATTTTTTCTTCAAATTAAAAGCAAAAAAAATTTGTCTGTTTCAAAGAGAAAAAATAGAGTGGGATTGAGGCAAGGTTTGATCACTGCATCAAGCAATCCCTTGGGAATGTAAAATTATTTCTGCAGTCGCTTTACGTACAGCAACGACATGTGTATGGTTATGATTCCTCATATTTAATGCTTTCATCCTTTATATGGTTATGATTCTCCAAATTTAATGCTTTCAAGTATATATATGGCAAGTATTTGATTGCTACACGTACAATAGCTGCAGAAATATAAATCATATATATATATATGGGGAAATGAATTTTTCTTCAAATTAAAAGCAAAAAAATTTGTCTGTTTCAAAGAGAAAAAATAGTACACGTACAATAGCTGCAGAAATATAAATCATGCAAAAAAATTTGTCTGTTTCAAAGAGAAAAAATAGAGTGGGATTGAGGCAGGGTTTGATCACTGCATCAAGTAATCCCTTGGGACCCTTGGGGGTTTTAGGTCAAGGGTTATAGTTTTTAGGTTCAAGTCTTGCACCGGTCTACTGGTTGGCCCGGACGGAAACCACCATATTTTTTGCAGCAGGTGGGATTCGAACCCTGCTCATTGGAGTGAAGAGCGTCTTCTCATACCACTAAGCCACCATTACTGGTTGAATACTATACATCATTTAATATATTTATTATATAACTATTAAGTTAAGCGAATTATTTCAAAAATTGCATCTAATGGGATTCAAACCCTTTCCATTGAGGTTGTGCAACATAACAAATACCACTAAACTACATTAGGTTATTGTTTAGATGGCACTATTTAAAATATTTATTAATATAATTAAGTATAAAATATAAATTTCTATATATATATCTGATTCATGCGGTTCAACCAGTGACCCACCAGTTGAACCATTGACTCAGTGACCCGGTACCTCGTCCGGATCAATGACCGGTCCGGTTCTAATAACATTGCAAAATACTTTGCCTTCGGAGCCATTTTTTTATATACAAGTTTAGAAAGAGAGAAGAACACTATTTTTTTGTTTTGGAGAATAGAGAAGAACACTATTAACAATTGGGGTTTGATTTTCTCATGTTGAATGAGAATTCAATTCTCATGTTGTAGAGATAAAAAGCATGTGGGACCCATGTGTTAGAAAAAATTATATGTAGAACCCATGTCAGCACGAAAATCGAAGGGTGTGTAGGAAAATTTTAATTCTCATGTTGAATGAGAATTATAAAACCCTTAACAATTACTACTAAAAGATGAAGATATTATTGTACCCAAAAAAACAAAAAGAAGAAGAAGATATTGACAAAGAATCTTCTGAGTCAATTGATATATAAGGCACGACATTGAGATGGTAAAGGATCAAACATCAATAATCAAGATATCAACCAAAATTGAACCAATCTTGATACTTGAACTCAATTTGGACATTATTAGTCAGTATGTGAGGCTAAGGTGATAAGGGAGACGGATTGGAGGTGGAGGAGTAGAAGTCTTACGTTTAATGATAATTTTTTCTTTTTTTGTTCTTTTTCACCTGAATAGTTCAAATATTTGATATAATTTATCATACATGATTCATAATTGCTTGGATGCTAGTATAAGTCGGGAAACATTATTATTCTCGTGTTATGATTCTGATTTTTATTTTTTGGGGATTAATCAATATATCTTGCTATTATTTACTAATTATTAATATCTTCATTTGTAAATATTTGAATTCTTTATACAAAAAGGAAAATAAAAAAATAATCATTAAACTATTATTATTATTGAAAATAAATTTGAAGTTTTTGAATTTGCAAAAATATTAAAAAAATCTGAGACAAATTAAAATAACTTATAATATTAATATATCAACAAATGGGGCACATCATGTTAGAACCACATGACCAAAAGGATAACCTTATAATGTCGTGTTAGTTCTTTCCAAGCCTATAAAGCATTCAAAGTCTCATTCAATTTCTATAACGTTAGACTTCTCACTTCACTCACATGCATGCATGTATATTTTCCAACAAAACAAATATTAACTCGTGGTTTGAATGCCCAATTCCACACTCAATCCTTTGAATATATTGAACACTAGAAGAATCGGATGGTTAGAAACTTAGAAAACTGAAAAGCAGTTAAGTAAGCCCCACTACACAGTACATATCAGCACCATTAATACCATCCATCTCAATTTCAATTATGTTATCGATTTAATTTTGACCAACTTTTTGTAAAATTTGCACCATCTTTCATATTATCATATATATATTTTAAGGAAAAAATATCTGTTCTTTTTAATAACACGAGTTGTGTTATTTCACTCCACAATGAGGTGAGACTCACATCTTTATTTTTTTTGTCCACTTTCTCTCTGCATTATCTATCTCTTTCTCTCAATGACACAACTTTACATCTTTTAAAATGATATATATTTCTCCATTATTTTAATTTTGATACTTTGATATAATATATTAAAAAAAGATTATATTTACAAAAAATTTATTTAAAAACTTTTACAAACTATAATATGTCTCATTGATAAGATATTTTTAAATAAAATCTTGCTAATAATAAATAAATAGTATAGTTTATAAATTTATAAAAAAAAAATTTATCAATAGAACATACACTGACATAACAGTTACATGACACAGAAGTAGCAGAAATATTGGCTATGTGTACCAGGTGGACCAACCAGAGTCCAACATTTGGGATTGTTAACTACTGAAAAAGCATGGTTGGTTTCTGTTGCATATATATTCTCAAACTCCAACGTTAATCAGGGTCACCCTTTTCTACTTGACGGTTTTATATCCATATAAGACTTATATATACCGTAGAGAATCTAACATGGACTCTTGAAGAAACACAGAGGTATTGGTTGTGCCTCTTGGAACTCCAAACTAATATTCAGTTCATATTATTATAGTAAAATATAGCCACCAAAGTACGCTAACCCATTTTTTTCTTTCTTATTCTTTTTGTTGAAATCTCACTCATTTCTAAAAGGTCTTTTTGTGTTGCAAAAGGGTTTACGGTGATCAATCTTTTTATGTAATATATTTTTTTTTGTTCATATATGGTGTGCCTTTGTTATGGTGGCTGGTGAAGGTGAAAACTGAAATCTGTTTTTTGTTTTTGTGTTGGTTGTAGCTGGATTGGAACAAAGGGAAAGTGAACCTATTTGTGAGTAGCAAAAGAACAAGGTTGCAGCCAACACCGATGCCGTTCAATATTTTTCAGGACAAAGGTGGATTCCCCCGGATTATATTGACTGAACCAAATGGTTCATCAGCTGAGGTTGGTTTCAGCTTCTCTGTTTCTCTCGTGATTATTGTCTAAAGGGACCTTTTGTTGTGGTAAACTGTAAAGTAGATTTAGTTTGCCGCTGTCTCTGGCGTAAATCCTCATAGAGGTTGAACAGGTCTGCCTTAACCCTGGCGGGTTACATACTGGTGTCTCCCCTGCCAAAACTTTGAATACTTAAAAAAAAAAAAAAATGTGATTTCCTCACATGATATTTTATGCTCAAATTATGCTTTGAATTTGATGGTTTAATTATGGATTGTGTGGTTTATGGTCAACTTTAGAAATAGTTTATAGAAGCTCAAGTTGGCAATTACCTACTAACTTAAAAAATTTTGTACTCAACACTATTTGGACCAATATGATTCTAGTTTTAAAATAAAGCCAACCATGGTTTATCAATATTGATCAGATATGGCAGCAGTAATTTCACTTTGTGCAGTTCTCAATGGATTAAAATATATGGTTTCAGGTGCTTCTGTATGGAGGGCAGATTGTTTCTTGGAAGAATCAACGGAAAGAAGAACTGCTTTTCATGAGTAGGAAGGTAAACTCGAGATCTGATTAAGGGGGAACAAGCTCCTCACCACTTGAATAAATGATTGTTGGTGAACTCGTGATAGCAATATAATATAGTATATGATTAGCTGATAAATCAATAGCTCTGGTTATTTGATAGTATGTAACATATAGTCCTTTCAATGTCCTTAGTTATCTGAATATTAAAAACATTCATAATAAGCACAACATTGAAAGGAAAAATTAATGGTTGAAGCTAAATTCATGTTTTTTTCTCTACTTTATTGTCAATCTTGAAGCATGATTGAAGCTCAATTTTCTTGTTAATTCTCATTATATTCTGTGTTTATTTTGCCTTGAATTTCTTATAAGAAATTAAGGATGTGACTTGCATGCATTTTCCCCTTCATTTTGTTAAGTTTCCTTGTTTAAATTATTTTCATTAACTAGGATAATTTATGCATACTTAATGCCATTTATGGGGATTTTTCTACTGAATAGGCTAACTGGAAACAACCTAAAGCAATCATCAGAGGAGGTATATCAGTCTACTTTCCACAGGTTAGTTTTCATCACACTAATGGAAACATATTTGACTTCTGTTTTTTCTGAAGTCTTGCATTTTCAACTACAATTTGTGTTGCAGTTTGGTGATCTTGGTTCACTTGAACAACATGGATTTGCAAGAAACAAGTTATGGTCATTGGATAGGGACCCTTCACCTCTACCTCCACTAGACAATCAATCATCTGTGGATTTGATATTGAAGTCAACAGGGGTTGACTTTAAGACACCCTGTAGGTATGGATTCAAACTGTGTTTGCTTCTTTTTTTCAATTCCCATCTCACTCATTAAGAATGAAGTGTAATGTTGAAGGGAACAATCAAATATCTAAACCTGTACATTTTTGTTTGGCTGTTTCTGCAGTTTTGAGTTCAAGCTTAGAATCTCTCTCAGTGCTGGGAAGCTCATTCTGATCCCTCGAGTCAGAAACACTGATAATAAAGCATTTTCATTTACATTTGCACTGTGCAACTATTTATCTGTATCAGATATCAGGTGTGTTATATATAGATTAACATCTTATTTTATTTCACTTTCAAATCATCATTGTTGTTTTCTTGCAATTGTTTTGTGCTGCAAAAGTTTTTAATTTCCATTAGTTTTTCACATTTTTACTTTTACAATTAGACCATCATGCCATAATAGTCTTTTTTGGACCCTATGGTTGCTTGCTATGACTCAAACAGATAAGTTTGAAAGATCTTGCTAATTAATTATGTCTTTAAGAGGGTTGAATGAATCTACAGTGAGGTGCGTATTGAGGGATTGGAGACCCTTGATTACTATGACAATCTGATGAACAGATCAAGGTTCACAGAACAGGCAGATGCAATTACATTTGATGGCGAGGTATAAATTCATGTTCTCCATTCAATTATGTTTGACAAAATGAACATCAATCAGAATATATATATATATATATATGGAGAATGTTTTGTTTATAAACTCTTACAAACTATACTATGTACTCCCGGAAGTACACTAGGTTACACTATGTATTTCCCGGGAGTACATAGTATAATTTGGAAAAATTTATAAAAAAATTTGTAAATGGATTATTCCTATATATATATATATATATATGGGTTCATCGGGTGTCATGTCACATGATATAAGATTTTGTCCCGAGCAGTACATAATTATAATATTAAAGTTATTTTTTTTTTCTCTCTCCACGTCTGCCGACAAGTTTCTGAAAAGTTTATGAAGAGAAAAAAAAAGTAACTTCAATATTATAACTATATACTCCGGAGTGCATAGTTATAAGGGAGTGAGAGTGCAAAACCTTATATCATATAACAGGACAAACAATAAACCCTATATATATATATATAATCCTTCCCTATATATTATGATTTGATTTTCTCATGTTTGGAATATACAAAAATACTTCTTTCAAGTGTTGTCTAAGGACAGTTTTGGTTATCTTGTAGACGGACAGGTTGTACTTGCGCAGCCCAAATAAAATTGCCATCATAGACCATGAGAAGAAGAGAACTTTTGTACTCCAGAAGAATGCAATGCCAGATGCAGGTAATATTATTAGTTAAGGGTGAAAATTTGTGTTCTATTTGGCACTCACATTTTTATATTTTATTTGTTATTTTGATCTACCTTTGATACAAATAGGACAGTATTTCTGACTTAATTAATATGTGATGAGAGTGCAGTGGTATGGAATCCATGGTCCAAGAAAGCCAAGGCTATCCCTGATTTGGGAGATGATGATTACAAGACCATGATATGTGTGAATTCTGCAGCTATTGATACCCCAATTCTCTTGAAGCCTTCTGAAGAGTGGAAGGGTTATCAGGAGCTCTCTACTGTTTCATCAAGTTATTGCAGTGGACAATTGGATCCTCGCAAGGTTCTTTATGGCTTTCACTGACATAGTTAATTTAGTCAATGGAGATTTATATGGACTTTGGTGTACACTATACAGTGCACATGCACTAGTTTTGTCCATGGTGTTCCTCTTCATAGGACAGAAATCAGCTGTGCTTGAATATCATGCTCATACTGTAAGATTAATATGCAATTCTTACAGTATTATCCATTGGGTTGAGAACTTTGAATTTTTTATAAAGATCTTTGGCACTGGACTTTGAATTCACAACATGAAAGTATACACATAGGACATTCTCAGTGGCTTCCTTCATGTGATTTGGGCAATGATTTGAAATGGAAAAGAATACTTTTTAGTCATTGTCGCATATTCATATTCCAATGGCATGACTGATTTAATTTTTCTTAATTAGGATTATTAGATCAAGTGATCCAATGACCTTATAGCGTAGTTAATGCCACATTAGATTAAATAACATGATCGCAAATAACATGACCTTATGCACCAACTAAAAACAAATAACAAGGTCCTCTAAATAATGAGGAATTAATAGAGCTTGAATCGAGCACAAAATCGTGTTTCGGTGCTACATACCCTTTCACGAAATCAAAAAGAAACTAGTTTTCAAATAATGCAGAAGAGAGCCCCAACATAAAAAGGAAAAATAATAAAATGTTTTCATTCTGCACCTTATGAAATCGGAAGGTTGGAGCTTGAACTAGAACATAATTTGATAGATATCACTATTACATAGAGAAAAAGTTGTATACAATGACAACACAATCCTCATCTAAAAATATAAACAGAATACAAATATTTGTCTTCAAATTATTTCTCACAATTTGACTGATTAACATTAATAAAGGGGGAAAAAAAAACTAAATGTAATAAAGAGAGACAATTTTATCACCCCCTGAATATTGCAAAATAAGACCAGCAAGAAACAGGTACTGAAGGAATCCTTAATTTAAAATCCAACCATGGAATATATGTTTGATCCATTCTCCATAGATTATGTTAAGACTGTACAATTAAACATGAAATGAATTTAGTGAGACAGACATGAAAACATATTATTCCCCGTCTTCCTCATCTTCACCATCTTCAGCAACTCCAGCATCATCTCCAATGCCTTCAAGTAGTTTTTCAGCATCCTCCCCCAATTCCAGCAATCTAGCACTAAGTTTTTTCACCTTGCTTTGTTCTTGCCCGAGGCATACAAATAGATCACTCAGCTCACCCTCAGTCTCCTCCTGAGCTGCTTCCCTTGCTTCAGCTTTTATTGCCTCCACATCTGGGAATGTTGAGAGCCCTTCTCTCTTCAGTGCTTTCACCTCATGCTCCAGTTGGAAGTTAGATTGCTCAAGACTATTGTAGGCATCAGACAGACTCCTTAGATCAGCTTCCGTCTTTCCAGCTAAATTCCTATACATTATTGCCTCTGATTCAACTTTGGACTTTTCTGCCTTAAGCATCTCCAATCTTTGAGATGCTTCTTGGAAATCTTTACGTAGTGTCTCTATTTGGACATTGTCTGAGCCCCCACTCGCTCTTTGCTCAGACTGGAAACTACTACCTGTCCTAGCCATGTCCTCAGCCAAAGCAGCATTTTGAACAAGGAGATCCTGAAATGATGACAACAAGAAAGAATCGCCAAATCAAATGCTTATCAAGACTAGTCAAACAACACATTCTATGTAGATATTTGTCAAGTGCACAGACTCTACAGTCCTATATACTTCCTGTTCTCGTAATGGGCTCTCCCTCACAATGGGATAAAACAAATCAAAGTAATAATTATTATTATTATAATAAGGTATTATTAGTCAATAATGGATTCAATGTGAAAACCATCAGAAACAAACATGACTTGCTGAACAAATCAAACAAAGATGTAAGTTAACAGCAGTACATCCTAGCAAACACTATAACAAAAATGTTCTTTGTAATCTTACCAGCTGCATACGATTCAAAACCAACTGCAGAATCTCAGTTTAAGCACATGATAATGCTAGTTACAAACCACAATTAAAAAAGAGCAAACCCCAGTGCACAAGGCTTTGCCCTTTTTTAATTGTGGTTTATAAACCACACAATTAAATGCTCTGAAAATTTGAAGGATGCTTTTAGTACATTCAACCTGCATCTTCCTATTTATAGTAAGGTAGACTACCTAAAAGAAAAAGATTCATGACTTATCCTCTTTAAAAATTTTAAAGAGGAAAAGATAAACAAATAATACCTGTATCTCAGAGTACTGCTTCTCAACAAAAGCTTTCAGCCGCTTTATATACTCTCCATCACTTTCACCATTCTTCTGCTCTAATTCTGCTGGCACTTCTTGCACCTTGATTTTTTGATGACTATAAACCTCCACAATCTGTTCTCTAATATCTACCTCCAGTCTTTTGACAAGATTCACAAAGCAAGAATCCAAGATTGAAGTGAGAATTGGATGATCTAAATTTTTCTTTTCTGACAAATTATTGTCATCTACATCTTCAACATCTGCCATGCTAGCTGCTGAAGATCTCGTGAATAATTTATGGGTGAGTGATGACTCCACGCTAACAAAAATAAAACTTTTCTGCATCTCATCAAACTTTAAAAAGTATGAACTAAGTCCAACTTTCTGACTTATTATATCAACAATGGCAAATGCATCTTTTCTGCTATCCGTGGATTTATTATAGATCACACATTCACCCAAGACAACTGCCGCAAAACCCCTTATACACACTGTTTCTGACAAATTTGAAACCAGCTCAAGAAGTAAAGTAACATGTGGGCGAGCATCTAGGAAGCAGTGCACTGCACCAGGGCAATCTGCTAGCCAGGTAACCAGTAATTTCAAGATAATGGTTTGAACATAAGAGTTTCCTGATGCACTAAACTTTTTGTCTTTGGATTTTATGGAATAAGCAAGGGCCAAATATTTCACCATTCGATGCATTAGTGGCTCTGGAGCTCCTAAAGATTGCATGGGTGCCTCAATTTCAATTCGTAAAACCTGCAACTCTTCTCATTAGATTTCTTCGAACAAAACCAAAATTTTTGTTTTACCCTTTCATAATCTCACTGTCCATACTATCACTACATATTTAACGTTTTTGGTAAAACATCAAGTGCCAAAGAAACACGAAATGGATAAACACTACTGGGGCATAGAAAGAAAGAAAAGCAGCAATTATGAAGTTATAGGCAATTCCAAAAAATTCTAAACATCGCATCTTATATGCATAAAGTTCCACTTACAAAAGAAAAACTATGAATAATTTGTGTGAGAAACCATAGAAAATATCAACTGCAAAATTTGGGTTATCTTTTAAGTAAATGAACAAGACCATTACAAACCGGGCAAGTTGCATTTCCAATGAACCAGTTAGGTAAAACAAATTACAAAATATTATAAAAATGTAAAAGAAAAAAGAGGGAAAGGACGGGTATGAAGTATGCCTTGTGAAACATTCATACATATGAAGCAAATCAGATACACATTCACCATCACCAAGAAACACATGTACCCAAAGGCAGTGCCAGACCTCCAGGTTGAGTAATTATGAACGCTAACATTTTTCTAATATCACATAAAAACTTCTCACACAGTGCAGATTACTTTAAATGTTCACCCCCATTAAATCTATTTAATCTGATTATTTCTTATCAACAATTGTCCTGTAAACAAAAGAAGTTTTATACTGCAGATATAAGTGCACCGGCGGGAAAAATAAAGCCAACAAGATATAGCAAGCAAAAGGCCCAATTACCTAGGCAAGAAATTGTGATGTATTTGGCTCTGTATCTTACACGAGCAAAATGCTAAAAGCATTGAAGAAATATAAACTACCCAATAGAGTCACAAAACTTCCATCCAAATACTAATAGATGGAAAGAGTGGGGGACACCGATTAAAAGAGATGATATAAGCAAGAGACCGATTAATTCCTAAGGCAAAAAACAAAAACTCAGCTAATTTCTCAATTTTTAATAAGCTATTGCATGCCAAAGAAATTATCAAATTTTTATGCATACAATTTAGTTTATTGGTATGATTACTTTTTTATTTTCTAGTAGTCCTATCTTGTTATAGGATAGAATGATGATTTCTTTCTTTGATTTAGTCCCGAACGCAAACTAATTAAACAACTGCAATTTTTCATAATATTTTTTTAGAAAAGCTCCTTAAAAGTAGGATGTCGAGGCAAGAGGAGCGTCATTGTGGTTTAGACAATTTTCTACTCCCTTTTAAAGAGTAAAAGAAATTTTTTTGGGTTTGGAAGGAAAAAGAAATTTGATACCAAATTCCCATGTGGTAGAATACCTTTCTATAGTAGTAACAATCTATAGATTGGAATTTTATCATGTTATAATTTAAAATAGCATGAGTACATTGATTCTTGTCTTATAAAAGTTAGTCACAAAACAAAAATCATTTAAGCATAAAAATTAACCCCAATGGAACTGGGATCCTACGTTTGCAAAAATTGGTTGTCGGATAAAGCTAAAAAAACAATAAGTGGGTAACTATGCATACCCTTTCCTTGCATTGGAGATTGTCCTTCAATATATGAGATAGAACACTAGCAGCTCTGCAACACGTCTACATTTTTAACACAATGTTAGCCAGATAGTCCTCACACAATAATTTCATTGTACGGACAAAATATCAAAACGCCATAGTTTATTTGAATTGCCACCAACAATTCTGCTGGCATTAGCTTGCAATTCAAATCTGAAATATACATAAAAAACATCACATACCTCAAGATCACCATCATTTTCACCCAAAGTGAGACCATGTAATAGCATGCTGAAAGAGAAACAATTGACAATCTTCAAACTGATTGAATATAGCATATTAATAAAAGTGCAATAATTTAGGATACATACATAAACAAAGGATTGATATATCAAAGAAATTAAATCTCACATTATCAAAATATTATAAATAAGTGCAGTCATTAAATGACAACCAACAAAACAAACCTTCCAAAAGACATATTGACATCCTCCTCAAGGGGTGCATTAGTCATGGAATACGGCTGTGGAATTAGTGTAGACGCCAGCATTGATTGGCCATCAGCATTTTTCTGATTTAGATAAGGTTAATCAAAATAGGAAAAACAAAAGAAACAGAAATGAGACATATGTAGTAAAAAAAATATTAATATGTACTTATCAAAATTTTATAACTCCTAAATTATGTAATATATATGGTGACAAGGAATGCTTATAAGGAACAGATCAAGAAAGAAGTATGCATAACCAACCTCACAAAAGCTTTTGAAAACATAATCAGCTGCAATGAACTCTTGCATGCTAGAAGTCCTCAAAATGATTCGAAGTATAGAGTTCAGCGCAGGTTCAACTTGTGGCTCCTCTCCAAGAACTTTGCTAGCAAGAAGATCAAGATTCTTTGAATCCCCAGTAATCAGATCACCAATACATCGCATTGCCTAACAAAGAATAAGTTTAACACTATAAACTGAGCACCCCTTCATACTTCTTCATAACAAAAAAATTTCTTATAAACTAAGAATTTCAGAACAAACAAAGAGTAAATCAGTGCCACAGAATAAAAAATGGAAATGACACTACTACTATAACTAAATGAAAATGCTCTTTTGAACGGTATGTGAATCAAAAGTGAAATGTATGCATTGATCATTTTGTAACTCAAGTGCACTCCAAATTCAACTGAGTCATCGATAGCAAGACTTGTTTTTGACATAATTTTACACAAGGGGTCTAGAACAGCAACTACTATCAACCAAATAAAAGGATATCGTTTTCTCATTCATTACTTATGACATCAAACACAGCAGTCATATACAACCATATCTGGATGTCATGTGTAATGTACAGAATGAAAGATAACAATGTAAGCAAGAAAAAAAAAGCCTATTTCTTTTTGTAATAAAAAAAAAACCACTCCCCGTTAAACCTGACTAGCAAGTGTGGGGTGGATGTAACCTTGTACGCAGCCTTACCCTTGCATAATTGCAAAGAGACTGTTTCCTGGATTTGAACCCATGACCTTTCAGTCATGAAAGAACAGTTTTACCACTGTTCCGGTTCGCCCTCTTATTTCTTCCTTATTTCTTTTTGTAATACAATTAAAAAAATTATAATTTTATTACAGATATTTTGTATTAGAGCTAAATACATCAATACATTGTGTGAGATAGAGGAAAGTTATCTTACCTCACAGCGAACAGCAACAGGTACCCATTGGCTTTCAACACCCAATACTAACAAGTGGTCCAATACCTTTTTCTGCAACCAAGTCCACAAAGCAGAAGTATAAGATCACCAGATAGCTATTTTTGCAATCATCATGAGACTAAGTTCTTGACAAACCTGAACGAGAGTTGTCTTATTTGTCTGTTTATTCATATCTTTCCCAGGATCTGCCTCAGAACCTCCCTTTAATAACAATTTAATGGTTTCTATCGCACTGGATAGATTGATTGTCTACTGGCATGGTGTTTATAACATGAGTTAGCTATAAGGCTTCACTAATAGCAAAAACTAAAGTAAAAAATTTGAAAGAATCTAACCTTTTCTTGAGTAAAAGTGTATGTACTTCCTCTCAGCTTCAAAATTGATATCAATGAATCAAGTCCTACAGTCTCTCTTAATAGTACCTGAACCATACGTAGTTGAAATCATAACTAGGATTCGAAATGAATAAACACAACAGAGTCAACAAACCTGATTGGATGCATTACTACGAAGCAAATTGTTCAACAATTCAAGGCAGTCCTGTACAGTAACCTAAGAATTAGTATCTAGACCAAAAACTATATGAAGTTCAATGATGCTCAGAATATAATTGGATATTTAAGATTCAGATATGAAAGCCTTGGCCAACAATGAAAATTCAATTTTCAACACCTAATACAAACAAAAGATGACAAATAATACAAATTTGACTACATATGTTTCATTTCTTCACCTTTTGCTTTTGTTTTTGTTTTTCCTATTTTGATTTGTCTTATCTAAATCAGAAAATATGATTGGGTAATGGAAACAAAATTGTGCATAAACATGTCTGTGTGCATATTGATTTGTAACCAATATTAGCTCATAATAAATAAAAATTGAAGCAGGCAAGCTCTCTGAAAGACTTACCAACAGCACTAGTATAACATGACTCACTTGCCATTAACATACTTTTATATGTATTTTTTTCAAATAAAATATAGGTATATGAAACATAGGCAGCTTTAATTTGCAAGCTCTAAGTAGACCATATCACCATAACATAATCATGGATTAATATCTTATTATCTTACATCATGTAGCTCAAAAAGAAAGTTCAATAAAGTACTGTCATAGATTAACTATGCATCACCTGCACAACAACGCCACCATCCGAATTTCCCTCCTCTCTTATGATACTGAAAATCTTCTCAAATGCACCTTCAAAGACGAGAATCTTTTGAATCTCCTATAATCATTAAATATATTTAGATGACAAAATTTTATCACCCAGTAAAAAGAATAAGCTAAAAATTTAAAATAAAATAAAAGCTGAAGTGGGGAAAAAATTACTATCAAAGCAAAAAAGGCTACCTCGGCTTCACGCGTCAGGTGAGTAAGAAGCAATAAGGCCTCATTCCTTATTACCTGCAAGGTAAACCTTGATCATTTTCCCAGTATCATAACAGCACACCATCAACATTCTCAAACAGAATTAGCAGATTCAAGGATTTCTCTCAAAAAGAGGATCTATAAACAAAACATATCAGAAGATTTCAAATGGTAAATATTTGATAATCTAAAGAATTAGATTGCCCCCCAAATAATTATAAGAGCAAAGATTAAACAAGTACATTTTGTATAGACATGTGACAAAAATCAACAATTAAGTATGAGAAGGTTGCAGAGATGAATCAGATGAATACGGAGCTTTCAAGTTTTGTACCTCACGATCCATAAGCATGTCCATTAGCCGAGTTATACCACGAGGGATGGCCAATATAGCTTCCTGTAACCTGAAGAGGAAGTCAGCAAGGGTGCTTTCCAAGCTAGATGATTTAACAAATTCAGGAATTAAACCAAAATCAAAGCTAAAAAACTAATACCTCTGTGGAGAATTGGTGACAAGGGCAGTCAATATTTGCAGAGTATAATATCGTACATAGAAATCATCCTCTTCCTGTCAAAGTACCACAAAGGAAAAATGACTAAGAAAATATTATGATTTATATGCATAAGCCTAGAAGTCAAGGAAACTTCCAGTGATATAATTGAGAATACATGCCATGATTTTAGTAAAGAAATTCTTACCAACAAACTTAGAAGAAGAGAGATACTATCTGCTTCTCTAGAAAGTAAATCAGTGTTCATCAAAGCTGGCCGAACTTCATTAGTTGATCCTTTTGCATGATAAATAGGAGTCAGTGCACCTACCATAGTTTCCAGGGCACCACGAACCTGCATGGATATATTTTCCATTTAACACACTGTTGGGACTGGATATATTAAAAGCAAATGATACAAATTTAGGGAAAGAAATCCATCTGACAAGAAAAAGGGTAGACAAAGATGCAAGGAATGTCAGCAAGACCATAATAGTGAACTGTTTTCATTCAATAACCGCAAACAAAAACCTTCCCAATCTAACTGAACCCACGTCCATCAATAAATGAAATTAGCACAGCCAACACATGATACCCAACAAAGTAAGTTGATGATTGGGGTACCACATTGGCGATCTAAAATATCTTCAAAAACAAAAAAAACTATCAAAGAAAAATAAAGGCCACTACTGAAGAGAATATCATAGAAGTATGGAACCCATGCATAGCTGACTATAACAATTTCAGAATGTAAGAAGTCAGCAACTAAGTTAACTGAAGAAGCTCTAAGCTTCACAGAAAATTCAGATACTGAACATGAGTAAGGATATATTAACTTACACCTGACAGATTCAATTTGGTACATAAAAAGATGTTCCTAAAGTAAAGAATGGCTACAACTCAAAATTTAACACCATGAACTAGATTATGAATCTAATATTTGAACTGTTGAAAAACAAGCTCGCACATTTCACTTTAATTTTTTATTTGATTTTTCTTTTGTTGTCGACTTATTAAGACTGAACTTGATGATCTGGATCCTAGTAACACAAAGAAACAACAAAAACAATTAGACAATAGACAATACAGGAAAGAAAGTTTTGTCACCATCTCAACATCATTACGTTCTTCCTTTAAGACGTTTAGCATTATAGGAAATCCTGCAGAGATGTATCAAACATATTACATAAGACAAGAGACAAAAAAATAAAACAATTTATTTGAGAGATAGGATGTACCCATTGCCCCAAATGCCAACTGAGAAGCTTGACTTTCTGAGACAATAGCCTGAAGCTCAGTAATAGCATTTCTCCTGTCCTCTGATAGTTTACCATTGCTTATCCGGTCAAGCAAGCGCTCAACATAGCTATTGAGACAAGCCAAAGATAAGGAACATAGCACTCAGTATAAATAGATAGATCAAACAACAGAAAATTAAAAGAAATGAAATAAAAATGCCACACTGGGATAATTGAAATCTATAAAATATAGTTAGGGAAACTAACTTACGAAATCAAAATAGCCAGCAACGATATATTGCACCAAGAAATAAGACTGAAGAAAATTAAAATATATATAATATGCAAGGAAGCAGATAGAAGTCAACAAGCAATGAAATTTAATTTCAACAAACAATAACAATATAATTAATGGGCAGACACCAGCAAGGAGCAAATGAAAATGATTCTAAAAACCACTTCAAACCATCATAATTCAGATATAGAAGAGTAGAAGACCATTAGTACTCCTAATTCTCATGAAGCAAAATTACTATAACACAGAATACATGGCCAACCAAGTTAATATAGAATATTTAATAGTAACCTGCATATTAAATTCTAAAAATATATTCTAATCAAGTGTTTTTTCTTCAAATAATTTTAATTAAATATACAGCATTACAGCCAAAAACAATTTTATAATTCATGAACTAAGAGTAAAGCAATGAGCAATAATGTAGGAACATATGAGATATGACACGTAATCATGAGATCAAAGTACAACAATTCCACCAATGTGTTTTAAAATACGGCATCTTTTTCACAATTACGTTGGAGAATATTCTGAGAGAAATAAAAAGGATCATAATTACAAAAGCATGTATTACGCTTGTGATTTGTGAATAACCTTGTCATAGAATCTTAAAGATGTCCGTAAAAAGAAATTTTGAACATTGCAAGATTCATTCATTTGGTGCATAGAAAAACAGTTTGGGATACCCAACGAATCGACATTGCACTCAAGTAATCAACAAGACGAAAGAAGATTACATATGCAGCAGTACATGTTCCTCATATTGCATAACATAGTAAGAGAATCTTAAGAACATTTAAAAATCAAAATGAAAAAAAAAAAAAAAAAAACTTTACCTATCTACATTTGAAGAATTCTCGTTGCCAAAAACAAGCCCAACAACCCCCTGCACAAAAATCAATACATTAATTGATTTCTAAACAAGAATAAATTACCATAACCTCGACTTGCTCGCTATCAAACAAAAAAAACATTGAGACTGAGATACATATCTTAAACTAGAAAATTCACAAAATCAATTTGAACAGACTCCTCAGGATCAATTTTTACCTTGTAACCAGACATCAAATCCATTTTCATAGATCACAGAGTGCTGCAGAATCCTTGAAGAAGAAGAAAAAAAATGGGGAAACCAACCAAATATGATTCAATTCACAATGTTCAAAATCAAAATATAACTTCATCAATGAGGATTTATGAGAACCCTAAAAATGAAAAGGAGAGAAGAATAGAAGAAAAGGTACCGATGATATGAAAAGCTGGTTTATTTGACAAGATTTTCGAGCTTGAGTCGAGTCTGTTCAACTTCGAGTTTCTGTGCTGACACTCAGGGGGTGCATTGGGATTGTTTTTGGAAGAAAAAAAATATATATTGGATTGTTATTTAATTAACATTTTAAAGGATTGAAAAAAAAAAAAAGACACGTGTTATTCGATTAGGATTTTAAAAAATTATTTTAATGTCTCTCCAAATTCGTAAATCCATCGATATTCAATTAGGATTTTAAATAAAGAAAAAACAATTTTATAGTGTCCGATGATTTTAATGAATTTTTTATTGATGTGGATTTCGTAAGACTTTTTAGTGAGAAATATAAATAGTATGTTTCTCTTATCCTAACCTTCTACTGCAGTGTCTACTTCCTTTGGCTGGTTGACCCGCCCGAACCCTGATTATGCCATAAGTAGGGATGTGCATAGGTCAAATCGAATCGACTTTTTTCAAAAACCGAACCGAATTGGATTAAGTTGTTTGATTCGAAATCGATCCTATTTTGAAAAGAAAAAAAAAGTAAAAATTTAAAAAAAAAATTATAAAAATCAATTTGGTTCGGTTCTTAAACTGGTTCGGTTCATGAACTGGTTCTTCATTGGTTCGATTCATGAATTGTTTTTAAAAACTAATTATTTTAAGGACGGTTCGGTTCATGGTTCGGTTCAATTTTTTGGTTATTTTGCACACCTTGGTCATAAGAGCTTCGTCAAAGCTCAAAAATAGCAAATTTTTTAGCGATTTTCATCATAAAACAACCAACCAACAATATTTTAATATAATTTATTTCAAAAACAGCAAAATTTTTGAGATTTTGGAATTTTAAAAAATAATTTTTCAAGCTATGAGTCGAGATTTTTCTTTGCACAAAAATGTATGATTTTTGTATTAAAAATAGGAAAATGTATTTGTCATTTTAAATGACATAAAGTTATGTCATTTTAATAGAGAGATACACACAAAATAATTTTTTTATAAAAATTTAAATTAAAAAAAAATATCACTCACTTTCTCTCCCATGATTTTCATTTCTTGTATCTATCTATCTCCTAAAATTCTTAGAAAATCTTTGGGGGCCAGAGGACGTGCCTCTGTCCTCGAAGGGGGGATTAGTCTCATCCTTCCTCCGGTAGCGAAGCTCAATGCACTCGTTGTTCCAATGAGGAGCTAGCCTTCGGGTCGTACTCCGAGGACAGGGTGACCATAGGAAGTTGAATGGGGATACCCTCCAGGTTATACCAAAAAAAAATTTAAAAATAAAAATAAAATGACAAACATCAAACCCTTAAAAATAACATAAATTAGAGGAAAAATAACAGGGTAACTAAAACCCTCAAATCAATTTTCGTTTTATATCAATGGAACACTATCAATTTAAAGAAAGATTAAAGCTTTCATAATATGAAATCTATATTTCGTAACAATACATTTATGAATGAAATTCCTTCGCTATAGAAAACGATTTCAAACAATTTTTGTGTCAATAAATAACTAAAAACTTATTTTTCAAAAGCCCCAAAGCAATTTAAGGTTTCAATTTATCGTTTGAAAATAATTTGATACATTTTTTATACTTTCATGTAATAAAACCCAGAAATTCATATTCTAAATTTTCTTAGAATACAAAATGAAAACATACATATGATATATAATTAGAAAACTCTCATCACATAGAATAAAAATCTCAAAGTTTTCAAGATCAATTGCAAAAAATCGAAACAAAATTTTATCATGAACTTTAGGTTCTGTATGAAAATTTAGAATTATTTTAATAAATAAATAAATAAATTGAGTTTTATAATCATATGTGTTTTAAAAACCTCACCCACCCCCCGGGTCAACCATGACCCCTCCCCTCTGATGGTTGGGGTCACAAGTTGGACCCTATATGCATATCGACCCATCCGACCCCAAAAATTCGGTCGGATTTCAGTGACTCACGGGTCAGAGGGTCGAAAGGGGTCACTGCATGTTTTTTTTTCTCTTTAAAATTCTATGAAACATCATCATTTTATAAATAAAATAAAATAAAAATGCTTGCAAACCTAAATCTAATTGTTCTCTTCTCTCTCAATGACCTAGATGTCTTCAATCTTCACCTCGCTGCGGTGAATCTTGTAGAAAAGATAAGAATTTTACACATTCAAATAAAATTCTTACGGTCATCGATTGAAAACAAAAGTTCATTCTTACTTCCTTTAAATTTTTCTTTGTTAGGGACCTTCTCAAAAGAGGAAGAATCAGGTCAGCGTAGTGACCCCATTAGAATATGAGTTTTGTACTTTGGTATCTTGATACTTTAATAAGGTTGTGTAATATCGACTTGTGGTTGCAATTGGTGAATTATGTTAAGTATATTTTGAATTTTTGATGATTGGTGATTTATTTTTTAATATTTTCATATAGGATATATATATATATATATATATATATATATATTTAATATACAAAATCGGGTCAGCGTAATGACCCCGTGACCCCTCGGTTGAACACGTGACCCCTGACCCCTGACCTCGGTCGGGTCGATGGCCTGACCGGGTTTTTAAACACTAGCTCTAATGCCAAATGAAGAAGATAATTTTCAACTCATTGATGAAATCGAAGAACAGAAACGAGAAAATGTTAATCCGTGGAGGACTAGTATAGCTTTAGATATGTTGAGAGTTGTTGTTTAGTAATTTTGAATATTTGTTAAAACTTATATTATGTTTTAATAATTGAGAATATTATATTAGGTTTTACTTTTTTTTATTAATATCATTGCATTTCTATGTTATTTTTTATTAACTCTTGTAATTTTAAATGTTTATTAAAAATTCATATGACTTTAAAAAAAATTATAAATCTATATTATCCTTTCGAATCTTCTAAATTCTATTAAAATTCTTTAAAGTCCAATCTTATAAAATATTGATTGTAAAAAAAATTATTTGAAAAAGTATTTAAAGTCCTTCCAATTCTATAAGATTTTTTATCTCAAAAAAAAAATCTTTTAAAATCTTAATCCAATACATCCCGATTATTTTCATTTCACCATTCACCACCCAAGCAAGCTCTACAGAGAGAGAAACCGACAAAAGCCCACGGATGGTTAAGATTGGGCAATATCTGGAAAATAAGCCCATGGGCCCCTCCACTAAAGTTCTATCTGTTTTTTTATATCTAAAAAGGCCGCGAAGAAAATGAAAGATGAGCTTCAACTACAGCTACGAGCTAAAACCCATGGGCCATGATCTAGGCCTGATGATTGAAAAGGAAACCATGATAATTTTCTCATATTCCCAAACAGAAATGGTTATCTTTGAATAAACTACAACTTCAAACGATACAGATTATTTTACAAAAATTGGTTGAAAATGGATTAAGTTAACAGAAGAGATTAAAAAAAAAAAAAAAGAGATGGAAGTTATATTTATAAAACAAAAATTTTACATATTAGAAAGATAAAAGCGCACATCTAGCATAAGAATATAAAATCCGTTGAGTTGTACATGAATTTGTGTTTAAAAAATTGTTAATATAAGTCTACAACTCTCCTATGCTACAAAAAGCTAAACAAAAATATAAATATTATTTCACCAAAAAAAAAATATTTAAAAAGGGTAATCACTGCGATGTTTTCAAGTTTCTTTATAACGTTGTAACAAACGTGTTTTCAGGGGGTGTTTGGTACGCGGAATTCTTCAAGAATCTCAGGAAACTGAATTTTTCTAAATTTTAAATTTACGGATATTATCATAAATTAAATATAAAAATCATATTTTTGAAAATTGAAATTTCCGACTAAAAAAAAATTCCTGTACCAATCGTGTCCTTAGTGCAAACTGTAAGGTAGAAATTTGTCTTCTCCATGCACTTTTTCTTGTACGTGATGCTATATTGCTTTCCACGATCTTTGTTTATGTACACTTTCTTGCGGCTAGGCTACTTTTTCTCTAATCTAGGCACTGAATCAAAAAAAACCTCGGAACACTATTCTTCTTGTCGACTAGTTTAGAGTCACTTTATGCTCTCTCGTGTTAAGAAAGTAATAACTACCATTAAAAAAATTTCATTACTTAACACTTTAAGATTTTAGGTTAAATTAATTATTTATATGGTATTAGAGTCTTAATGATTATGACGTTAAGAGTTCGATTTTCATCATTTCCACTTTCAAGTGGAATTGGTTCTGTATAATATCTATGTTCTATGTCCAAAAAGCTTTTACATGAGAAAATATGGTAGAGAATAATATAAACTATTAAAAAGATCATCATCTAATATCTTACAATTTTGGATTATATTAATTCTTTTTTTTTTTTAGTATTTCTACTAATCGATTCATCCTTTAGAACTAACCCGACCGGAGGCTGAGAGCAACAAAAGTACTCTCCCTCCCAACAGATATGCTTCTCGGGTGTAGAACTTAAGTCCTCCACCTTACGGGAACCAAGCATGCTTCCACTTGGTCAACACCTTGTTGGTGATTATATTAATTCTTTACCTCATGAAAGCAAAGAACCGTGATATAATAGCTGTGAAACTCATTTATTTTAAGGGTTTTATAAGAGTTATGTTGTAGGAAAAGTGATTGTGTAATGTTATAGAGATTCGTTTTGCGTGCCGTAATTTTCTTTTTTTCTTTTTTCTTCAAAAAGTGTAGGCCCCACAAAATGTTGTGTGTGTAAGAAAGTTTGTTATGTCATGTTAAATCACAAATGTAAACCCCTTATTTTAATATTAAAAAAAATTGTTTTGAAGTGCCTTTTGATAGATTTTTTTTTAACTTAGAAAGTGTTCAAATTCTCTGCCGGCTACTAAAGCCAGACACAAGTACTTAACACGAGTCATAAGACTGTCCTATATACTTAGATTTACCCGTCCCCTTGTTATTTAAAAATACTCAATACGAAGCAATTAGGATGGGTTTAAGGATAAAGGGTTTGAATAAATTGTATTAAGTTATGCGTATAATTTTTACTTATATTCAAAAAAAAAAAACTTAATACATTCCAACTAAAACAAATAACAATACGTAATAAATAATGGGCAAGATA